AGAGTCCCAGATTAAAGCCCTGTGGGGGTGTCCCACCGAGAGGGGCAAAAGGGCCCCCTAATGATACTCTACCTAATCACAGGAGCCCAGGTGTGAAAGCCAACACTGTAAAATCCTGCCCTGGTTTACAGAAGCTATCCACAGCTTTAGGCAAGTTTGCCGTAAAACCTGTATGTCTAAGGCTTCCTCAAATCATCTTCAAGCAGTCCAAAATGCCGCATCAAGGCTTTAACCTGCAGTCATAAATTCTCCCAAATCTCTCCTGTGTTAAAATCCTTGCACTGGCTTCCGGTTGGGTACAGATATAAGTTTAAAATTTTTACTTTTACATTTAAGCCCTTACAAGGTGAGGCCCCCACTTATATTGTTGTGATTCTTCAACCTTACTCTCTATACCGGATCCTTAAATCCATTAATAGTGGTCTTCTAACTATTCCACAGACCCGTTTGAAAACAAAGGGGGATCGTGGTTTTCAAACCCCAGCTCGTACACTGTGGAACAGTTTATTCCCCGCCCCCTTCCCCCCACTATGCACCACTGACTCTCTGACTTAGACAGGCATTTGGTTAACTTGGGTTACTTACTACTTACTTGCCTCTGTGCTTCATGTTCTCTCTGTCTCCCCTGTCAGCCATGTCCCCTTATCAACTTTGCGTCTCTATGCCTGTCTCCCGCTTCCTGTTATCCTTTGAAAGTCTCGTGTCCTGTGTTCAGTGTTTTGAGTTTTGCTTTTCCTCTGTGTCATTACATCTGATTAGTCTGAACTGTGTTTCCACCTGTTCCCAATCCTCTTGTTGTCCTGTGTTTGGTACCAACACTTCACCGAGTTCTTTTGATTCCTCAGAGGCATCTGATGGAAGACAAAACACTGCTCAGTAGACCATTTAACACTTTATTTCTCTTTCATATTACTTCATGAAGGGAGATGCGTCTTCCATGACACGTTGCAGCGGATCTCAAAATGGTGGTGTGCCCCTAACAGTTTTATTACAGAAGCTCTCTCATTCTAGTCTAAACAGTGTCTCAGTAACTTTCCACTAGAAAATGCTCCCCTGTTATCTGCTTTTCCCCGGCAGGCATGAGCGAGAGTCTACAGCATTCCACTTCCCAAGGACACGTAGTGTAATGCCTTTATTTTTCAGTGCTGTGTCCACATAATACTACACTATATGGTTATATGGCATTTTAGTTAATATAAAGCATAGAATTAAGGCACTTCAAATAATTTAATCCCAACAATTGCCTGTGTATTTCAGTCCTTAGTCTTCCCCATTTGTTGTCATGTTGTGCACCCTTACTGCTGTGTGTTTCCCTCGTGCTCCTGTCTAAATCTGTAGTTTCCACCAATAAAGCTGATGTTCTCAGTTAACTTCGCCTGTTGTGATTCCAGCATTTGGGTCCTACATCCTACCTGCCACACAGCCAAACCTTGACAGTTCCTTTAACAGGAGGACACTCTTTACATTCAAGTCAGCACAGAGACACTGAGGAACCACTACGATGAGGCCAGAACCCAAACCCAGGATAAAGAGTTTGAGTGAATGTGGTGTTGAAGGTGTGGAGGTGGATCAGAGTGTCAGAGGAGACTCTGTAGAAGGACAGAGTGCCAGCAGGACAGTCCACATACACTGCTGCTCTGTTAGAGACAGAGGAGGAGGAGGAGGAGGAGGGGATGGATGTTTCTCTGTTATTGTGACAAACAGATTCAGGACCATCATGAGAGCAGATCAGGCACCAAGACTGATCATTCCCTCCAAACAAACAGTCCTTACAGCGTCCCTTTCTTCTGATGCTTCTGTAACTCACTGATATATCAGCCCATCCTCTCCACTCAACCTCCCAGTAACAGCGACCAGTCAGACCATTTCTACACAGTAGCTGATAACAGTTTTCAAATCTGTCTGGATGATCAGGATATGACTGAATCTCCTCCACATGTGCCACCTTCCTGTTGTTGTCAGACAGTTTGAGTTCTCTGTTCACTGTGTTTGTGTCGATTGTGAGTTGACAGGAATCTGATGGAGAGAACAAACACAATCCAGCTGCAGTTATTGATCCATCATCTGTTCATTGATTGGTACTTTGATTATGACTCCTGACATCAGAGATGTGAATGTGTGATGTGACAGTTTGAAGATGGTTGAATGTGTGCTGCTTTGTTTTCATGAATCACA